AGGTAGTGAAAAAGGTGAGACATGTGAGAATCTTGTCAACAGCAAGATTATGTTGCTGTTGACATTATGTTGATGTAGACATTTGTGAACTGGTCATTGGTGGGGCCCTTAATAGAGAAAGGATAGGTCAATGAAGACCCTGCCGAACATACCACAATCACAGAGTACATCCATGGGGGCCGTGTCCTTATTCTCCACTAAAGGGATTTTGCTCTCAGATTTGGAGGTCCAGCTCCATGAGGGAAGCATGAACAAAACCTTGGGGTTGTGTGGAATTGGGGGTGACATTCCTGCCTGGAGCCCGGAATCCATGTAGCAATATAATGGGAGATATGGCTAGAAAGTTGAGTTGGGGTTCATCCTGGAGGCCCACAGTGCTGGCCTGTTGGTGGTGGACATTATTTTTCTGCAGTTCAGAACGCTAGTGATGGGACAGTTAGGAAAGTCACAGTGAAGTGTGTGTTTACTGGATAGCATTTGCAGGAAGTGCAAGGAAGCTGTGGCAGTAACTTGGTTAGTGACGACGCATCTTGCAGTTGAAGGAGGAAGCCCAAGATGAGACGATTCTCAAGTTTTGGGCACATTCTTACTTATTTTTTCCAGTGGTTTAACTTTTTATTTGAGGTTAAAGTAAAAATTATAATATTTTATATAGGTGTAGAACTGTGAAATTTTCAAGAGCTATGGAATTCCTTTAAAAAAAAAAAGATTTGCTTATTTGAAAGCAGAGAGAATGAGAGAGAGAAAGAGAGAGGAAGAGAGAGAGAGAATCTTCTATCCACTGCTTCACTCCCCAAATGGCTGCAGTGGCCAGAGCTGGACTAGTCTGAAGCCTGAAGTCAGGAGCCAGGAGCTTCTTCTGGGTCTCCCAAGTGGGTGCAAGGACTTAGGCCATCTTCTGCTGCTTTCCTAGGCTCATTAGCAGGGAGCTGAGTCAGCAGTGTGGCTGCTGGGACTCGAACTGTGCCATATGGGATGCTGGCATCACAGGTGGTGGCTTTACCCACTAAGCCATAGCAGCCTCCCCCCTTTTACACACACACACACACACACACACACACACATCTATATATAAACTTCTTTGCTCTAAAAAACATTGCAGTAAGGTAGAAGTTGTTCTTATTTTTGTTTTACAGACATGGAAACTGAGGCTCAGGCAGAAGATGGGGTTTTGCAAGCCTCTTAGCAGGTTGTTGTGGCAACTGGGGCAGGGAATTCACCACTAACACTTCCACCTGTGCCAGTGACGTGGTGTGCTGGTTTTCTCAAACTGATTTTTGTTTGTCTTGACCATTTTGGTTGTCATCCTTGGAAGCCCAAGAACACCATGACTTTCAAAGATTCTGGAGAGACAGAGAGAGAGAGAGGGAGAGAGAGAGAGAAAGAGAGAGAGAGAGAGAGAGAGAGAGAGAGAGAGAGAGAGAGAATCTGCCATCCTCTGGTTTATTCCCCAAATGCCTGCAATAGCCAAGTCTGAGCTAGGCCAAAGCCAGGAACGAGGAACTCCAACCTGGTCTTCTACATAGGCAGGGGCCCAAGCACTTGGGTCATCTTTTGCTGCCTTCCCAGCCACGTTAGCAGGAAGATGGATTGGAAGCAGAGCAGCCAGGACTTGAACAGGTGCTCTGATGTGGGATGCTGGTGGCACAGTGGTGGCTTAATCCACTGTGCCACAAAGCTAACCCCCCTACTGGCTTTTCCATCCGTAGACTTAGATATATTTCTGGATTGGATGATCATAATACAGCATTTTTTTAGTAGTATTATGCTAATTTCTTAAATTAGGTAATTCTCATAAAAATAATGTTATCTAGGTAGATAAACAATATCATTTTCTATATTACAGGTGAGAAAAATAAGGTTGAGAGTGATTAACTTGCTTGAGAGGAAATAGGTCCTAAATACAAGGGTAATTAAAAAACCTCAGGGAAAAATGGAATTAAAAGGTAGGTTTATTTTGGGGTAAAATTATTTTGACATCTGTGTATATTTTTCATAACACATTTCCATGAACTTTCTGATGAGGCTTGCAGACTGTAACTCTCGTTTTCTAATTCGAGGCCTCTTTCTTCCCTGCTATAAGATCCTACCCCACATAGTGCCTGTCTTACTGGCACTTAAGGAGGTCAGAGTCAGACTTTGGAAGGGCTGGAAGGTACTTTGCAATGCTTAGACGTCTGGTGGTTTTCAAGCAGTTCTCCCTTAAGCTGGAGTGCTAGGGTGGGGTCAGTGGGGGGACCTGGGGGTCTCCAGGAGTGGTCCTGAGGTTGGGGTGCTGAGGAGAGGGATGAGTGATGTGAGCTGGGGTAGGCAACACAAGCCCTAGAGCCAGTCTGAGCCCCTCTGCTTCCCCCCACTTTATAAGCTAAGCATCTCAAAGCATTACTTAAAGGAAAAATCCTGTTGCTAGGAAGAAAAAAGTTTCAAAACCACTGTGCTAGCTCAGTGTTTTTAAGAGCAAGAGACCAGGAAGCTTAGTACAAGTCACAGGTTGTGAGGGTTCCCAGGGCTGGGACACTAGCCTAGAACTCCCTTAACTTGGGGTAGTTTGTTAGAAGCACTTTTAACTCAAATTCCCATCTTGATGGGACATGGCTGTTTTGTTTCTTAAGGGAATAACTTTTTTTTTTTTTTGGTTTAAAAAACAAACATTTATTTCTCACAATTCTAGAGACTGAAAGTCCAAAATGAGAGTGCAGCATTGTCAGGTACTTTTTTTTTTTCTTTTCACCAGAGAAATCTTTTATTTAATGAGTACAAATTTCATAAGTACAACTTTAGGAATATAGTGATTCTTCCCACCATACCTGCTCTCCCACCCACACTCCCACCCCACCTCCTCCTCCCTCTCCCAGTCCCAGTCCCAGTCCCATTCTCTATTAAGAAAACAAACAAACAAACAAAAAAACCAAAACAACTGTTCCTCGACAGTAAGACAAGTGCTGTTCAAGTCATTGCTTCTCAAAGTGTCCATTTCACTTCTACAAATTTCCTTTTAGGTGCTCTATTCTCACAGATCAGGGAGAGCACATAGTATATGACCCTTTGGGACTGGCTTATTTCACTAAGTATGATTTTTTTAAAATATGATGTTTTCTAGATTCATCCATTTTGTTGTAAATGACCAGATTTCATTTTTTTAACCTCTGTATAGTATTCCATAGAGTACATATCTCATACTTTCTTTATCCAGTCTTCAGTTGGCAGGTATTCAGATTGATTCTATGTCTTAGCTATTGTGAATTGAGCTGCAATTAACTTGGGGGTGCAGATAGCTCTTTTATTTACTGATTTCATTTCCCTTGGGTAAATTCCCAGGAGTGGGATGGCTGGGTAGTGAGGTAGGTCTATATTCAGATTTCTGAGATATCTCCATACTGTCTTCCATAATGGTTTTACCAGTTTGTATTCCTACCAACAGTGGATTAGGGTATCTTTTTCCCCACATTTTCATCAGCATTTGTTGTTTGTTGATTTCTGTTTGAGAGCCATTCTTCCTGGGGTGAGGCGAAACCTCATTGTGGTTTTGACTTGCATTTCCCTGATGGCTAGTGATCCTGAGCATTTTTTCCTGTGTCTGTGGGCCATTTGGATTATGGAATTACTCTTATCTCTCCAGCTCCCACTGAGGCCTTTGGAGAATGGACTGGAGGCTCAGGGTCATGCTGGTTCTGAGGAGCTGCACCTTGCGTAGGGTTCTTGACCTGCATCATTCCACCTGGTCATGCCTCCCTTTAGGACCCTGGGAATCTTTTAGAGATGAGTTTGTTCAGTTCTGTGCAGAACAGAGTTGGCTTACAGATAGTGTTGTGCTACCTCCCTGGCCCAGCCTTCAAAAGTGTTGTCCAGTTGAATGCATAGAGTCACTGAGTGTCCATGGTATGCACAGTGCTGAGAACAAGGACAGGGTTCCTGATCCCAAAGCCAGGTGGGAATGCAGGACGTATAAGGAGTTTCCAGCACTTTTGGAGACGGTTACTTGCTACAGGTGGTTGTTATGCATGCTTGGTATGTGAGAAGGATCTCCTAGGAATGGGATGGGGAAAAGCAGGGCAGTGAGAAAGAGGACAGTTGGAAAATGGAGAGTGCAGTCTGGCATCACAAGGGATTGAGTCTGCACTGTGAATTAGCTAATCCTGGGACTCAGGATCTCTGGGACTCCTGCTTTTTCTTTAAGCCTTCATTTTCTCATCTGTAATCAGGGAGTGAGGTTGCATTGTTCACGGGGTTGTTGCTGAGATTAAATGACATAACTTGTGTTAACCTGCTTAGTACCATGCCTAGCACAGAGTAAGCACTTATTGCAGTTGCTAGTGTTGTTAATATTTGGCTGTAAGGAGGCAAAGAACCTGTTTTCAAGCCTCATTAACAGTGTAATTGGAATTTGCTTGTCCAAAATCACACTGCTTTCAGGAGTACAACCCAATCACTTTAGTGTACAACCACTTGACTCTGCTTCACCTTGCTGAGTTACTTCTGTGTGTCTCTGCTCTTCTGCCCCTCTCTCATTAGTGATACATCTTCCAAGCTCGAGTCTAACTTGCTATTCCCTGGATTCAGATCTTTGCATTGGCTTGGATTGCCTTTTGCTCTTTCATCTCTTCCCCTTGCCCCAAACCTCTTTGAATACCTAGCCCCAAGGTCCAGCATCTCTACTGGGAGGGATCCCCAGAACCCCAGGTTGTGCACTTTACCACATCTGTCAGCCTCTCTTTTGCACCAGGCTTGGGAGCTCCTTGGCGTTGTCCTGTCTTCATAGTTGTTTGCTGTATGTCCCTGGGGATTCAGGCACATACACGCAGTAGGTGCTCACACATCTACATCCATGCAGTACATTAATCTAGTGCCTTTCTCACATGTTCAGCGCAAGGAAGCACTGATCCCATGGCAGCCAGAAAACAGTCATCCTTGAGTTGTGTGCTCCTCAGCCTTGGAGATGGATTTCTGGGGGGAAGATCTGGCCCCTCCATAAATGACAGCAATGACTTGGCTCTTTACAGGAATTGAGGACATCTTGACAGCGAGGGTATTGGAAGCCAGACCAGTACCTGTGTTCTTAGAGCTCCTGGGGTCCCCGCCAGCCCCCATCCCAGGTGATCTTCAGCAAGACCTCTGGTATGTAATTGGCTCAGCTGCTGCCTGCTGCCTGGGATTCCTGTGAGCAGGGCTGGGAGGTTTACTGGCTTGGAGATTCCTATCTTTCTGGTCTTTGCAACTTGAAATATCTGATGCCCTTGATTGATTTATGCGTGGGAGCTTCCTCTGTGCTCTTTTTGGTAAATTGCTCCTTCCATTTCTCTCCCTGTGGACTTATTTCAGAGAGACTGGAGCCTGCGTTTATAACAACTTCTCCAAGGAAAACGTCACAGGTCACATTTCCAGAACGTAGAATCTCGTGGAGTCTTCCAAATGTCCATCTCTATTACCTCCCTTTAGCCCAGCATTTTCTTTTAGCTGGAAAAAGAGATTTTTGTCTGGAGCCATCCTGTAGGCATGCAGGACCCTGAGTTTGAAAACCTGACAGCTGCTGCGGAACTCTGAAGTGCAAGAGTGAGCAGCATGTAGACATAACCCTGCGGAATAGCAAGCCTTTGCCCCTAAAGTCCCGCAGCCTGACTGTGTCTTTGTCTTGCGAATGACCTCACTGCTTTCTGTAGTTGTAATGGAATGCACAGTCATTTACAAGTAATCACAGGGTAATCCCTTACACTTTTATAATGCCTTCCCTCTTCCCAGAGGACTTTCCTCTCATTATCTCATTTGATCCTTATAACTGCTCTCAGAGGCAGGCAGAGTGGCAATTTTAATCTCTAATTTTCAGGTGTAGACACTGAGGTCTAGAACAGTTAAACAGTTAGCCAGAGGTCAAACCGTTAGTATGGGGCAGGATTGGAACTGGAATCTCAAGTAGTCTAACCCCTAACCCAGTTTATTTTTCGTTTGTTTTGTTTTGTTTTACACCTCTTAACTGTTGGTGTGACCTTAAGTATACACTTAACCTCTCTCTGTTTTCCTGTCCCTAAAATGGGTATGATGTTACCTCCAGAGGTGGTTGTCAGTGGGGATTAGCACGAAACTGTCTGGAAAAGCATTCAATACATGTCACAGTGTAGTTAACTAACATAACGCATTGTGATTCTTATTGCATGGACCTTGACTCTGAATAGTACCATTAGAACTGCGAAAGAAAAAAATACTTTTTCAAGAAAACAGAAGTAAAAACAAAGCCGAAAACCCTGAGATCCAGAATAGTGCTAGGTTGTTGGGCTCCCAGGCATCCAGCCCTGTGATCAGTGAGCTGGTCCTGGCGCCCTGGCTGCAGGCTGCTTTGTTATTCCGACAGCTATGTTGGCAAGACCCCCTTTCCCTCCAGAGCATCTCTCTTCATGTTTCTTGGCATGGTCTTGCGTCCTAGAGACAGTTTTAGGCCTTGCAGGACTGGAGAGTGGTGGTGAGCTGGGAATGGGATCTGTGTCCCTAAGCTTTGCCCAAAATGTGGCATGGCCCTTGGGGGTAGAGGTGTATGTAGAGCTGTTCTGGAAGGTTTATCTTCTCTGATTTCTCACTAAGCTACAGAAGTCCATCTGGCTGGGATTTAATAGGGTACGTTGTGAGGCCACAAGGGCAGCAGTACATATGTTGAGTGGGTTGCTCAGCAGTAATACATTGGAAAAAGCCCAAAACAATGGATTTCCAGTTGGCAACAGATGCATCAGGAGTCAGCAGTGTGACGTGGTCAGGAGAACAGCCACGGTGATTGAAAGCTGAGATTTTGGATAGCTTTGTTTCTGTGTACATATTCACCTACCAAAATTCCAAACCAGTGAGGCATAGGTTGACATATGGTCCTAAGAGGCAGAATGAGGAGTAGGAGGCTGAAGGCAAGGGAGCAAGATTTTGGTTCCATATAAGGAAATTAGCAGCTGTAGGAGGAGATGATCTCTGCATCTTGGGTGACCTCAGAGGTGCCATGGGGGGATTCACAGACTGCAGGCACTGGGGCTGTGGTTCCCAGCAGCCTGGGGAGAGAGAGGCACATGTACATTAAGGAAACAAAGGGGCCCTTTGTGGTGGGGGAAACTGATCTTCAAGTGTTGTTTGCAAAATGGAAGGTAAATTTCATCTCTCCTTCTGGTTTTCATATCTGTTCCTGTGTCTTGCCTCTGGCCCCTTGGTTTTTAGAGCTCTCAGGCCATTCCTAGGCAGTCATTTTTCCCGATTTCTTTTTCCTCTGATGCACACGCTCGTGTGCACTGCGGACAGAATGGGGACCATCCTTTTCTTCTTCAAACCCATCTCTGAGAACCCCGGGAGGGGTGCAGAGGTGAGAACTCTGTACTGGATTCTGATCTGGCATGTGGTAGAAGGTTCTTTCATCGTGTTCCTTACCTGTTTTGATAATCATGGAAGTAAGTGTTCCTTCATTAAACATGCAATAAAAAAAGAGAACTATTTACTTCTGGCATACTTGTTACAATATAAAACAAGTAATCAAAATAAGTTTATAGTGACTGGAGAGACCAAGTTGGAAAGGGCACATCGTTGGGCTATTTTGGGATACCTACCCAGCTTGCAGATGGGAAAACGTAAACTAGGAGAGGAGAGCTGACTCGTACAAAATTCTATGGAGTGAGTGATTTGGGCTTGGTGCTTGGTCCCCTCAACCTCTGGCCAGGGCTGTTTGTAGCTTGAAGACTCCTTGGGGGTGAGAACAAGCCAGGTGCAGGCTAATGAGCCTGGAAATGGGCAGTGCTTCTGGGAAAGCTCATCTGGCCTCCAAAAACCTCACAGCCCAACCATAGAGCAGGGCACAGAAAGACGTGGAGCCTCTGGGAAGCCCAAGTATGGTGGCTAGATTCCTTTCCCTACTTCCTCAGTGTCTGTCTCTCTCATTCAGCCTGCCATCATTTTCGTTTGGATTCGTTCTGACTGGCTTCCCTGCTCCCACTTAGTCTGTGAACACCCCACTGGGCCAGTGTTGGAGCTAAGGTTGCAAATTGAACTGGAGCATCTCAGCTGTTCCTGCCCAGCAACAATATTTGCCTTGCAGTCTGGTTTTATTCCAGGTCTTCAAACCCTAGAATCTGTCCCATCAAGAACTCAGACAAAGCTGAGTTCCTAGGAGAACGCCCAGTTCAAGAGAATCAGGGACTGGGGACAGAGGCTAGCGGGTTGTTTCCGGACTCTTCACTGTAGGAATTGAAGATCCTACCTCTCTCCAGTTTTTTAAATCATTATTATTATTTTTTGAATTGGAGTCTTAGCAACTTCTCAGGTGCATCCCCACAATGCCTCTCCCTCCCCCTAATCAATCGATTTATTGCATCCAGGTACTTGCATTCTGGGTGGTTCCATTCCAAGCTGAACTTAGGCCTTTCAAAGCAGTCATTTCCTTATTGCGGCGAGGGAGCTTTTTCCTGTAACGGGACAGTGTATGAACGGGTTGGGGCTCCACATCTTTGGGGGTTAATAATTGACTCCCAGTAAGGAATTCTGTCTGAAGTCGGGCATGTTCTTCAAGTGCCAGAGGAGAGAAGGGTGATTTTTTTTGACCTCCTCCAGCCGGCTTCCCCATATTTGGAAATGTTTACCCACCACACTGATCTATTGGAAGGGAAGGAGGTGACTCAGGGTTTAGGAGAAGCAGGATTTGAATTCTTGTTTCCAGAAACAACGTCCTCCCCCTCCCCCCGGCCCCACTCTTCCCTCTCCACTCCTCTGCCCCTTGCTCTGGACGCTGGGGAGAGAATCTCAGGTCTGTTCCCCTCGGGCTGCAGGACTCCTCCTTGCTGCAGTGGCACTGAGGGCGTGTGAGAGGGAGAGCGGCTGCCCGTGGGGCCTGGCATCGCGTGAGTACATCATTATTGCCAGAGCGAACGGTGTCTGTGCTCGCGGACCCTGTGGGCTGGCTCGCTTGCACGGTGATGCGATGTGTTGCTGGGAGCTCTGACGGCTTTAATGTGGGGTGTGGACAGCTGCTTTCTCAGGGGGAGTGCTTCTCACAATGAGGTTTACAGATGGGAAAAGTTCTAATTATTTATTAGAAAAAAAAATAGACCATTTTCTCCTCCCACCTGTGGCCTACCTTGAGTTGGGCAGAAAGAGAGTTTGAGAGTGCTGTCATCTGTTTGATCACTAGGGCTAAAGCAAAAAAGCCAAAATGAAGGCTTGTGCACATTCGGGGAGCAGTGGTTTTAGCTGGAAAGCAGAATGATGGCTGGACTTAGGTTTGTGCAGTGTCAATAGTCTGCAGGAGCAGCCTTGCACACAGGGATTTGTGTAGACCCGATGTGCTGTCTAGAGGAGATTCAGTCTAACCATCCCATTTTATAGCATGGCAATGGGCAGTAGAGGCTAATCTGCCCCAAAGACACCGGGCTCACTATGCAGGATTCGAACCTAGACCATCTCTTCCTTCCTCTCGAGCTAAACTGCCGCTTCTGGCCCAGCAGAAGAGGTTGTCCCTGGGCAGATGAGAAAACAGGCACGTGCCAGACTGGGATTTACTTCTCCCGGTTCAGATCTCTTCCCCATCCTGTTACCTGGGCTCAGATACCTTACTTTTTTTTTTTTTTTCCTAATTCTTTTTTCCATTTTTTTCTTCTTTCCTTTCTACTTAACCTTTTCTTCTCTGGGTCATTTGAACATTGCTTGGGCAACCTTCTGATCTCCTCCGCAGCGTGTTTCTGTGTTTCCTTGTGCAGAAGGCCGAGTTAAATAGTGTAGACCATTATTTCCGTTTCATCTGCGACTGTGAAAATCAGGCGTCAGCTTCGCGAGAAACCCAGTAGCGCTTTTCACCTAATAAGCCGCCGCCACTGCTCTTGGGGCTGTGCAAATTCTAGAGTATTACCCCCATTCAGAGGTGAGCCCCGGCCCTGACTAGTGTTCACACACACACACACACACACACACACATTTTAGTCTGCTTGGGAGGACAGAGGCTAAGAGGGCACTGCCGTCTTCTTCCATCCCCTGCACGTGACACAGCCAGAATGGGTTTCTCCTTGAGTCAGCTCAGTTGCACACTCTGCGCCATTGCAGGGGAAGCACTTGGACGCAGTGCCGCTGAGTGACCGAGGCAAGAGAGCAGGGGCAGTGCTCTGAGAGCCCCA